AGTGGAATTGAAGTTTGAACCCTTCCCACACCACAACCCCTCATCATAGCATTTCCGTCTAACTTGATACGTTGATCAACTGACGATTTGTAGGTCTAGGCTTGAACCGATCCACCACCCCACTTTGATCGGTTTATCCGACCTAATCTAACTCATTCAGGATCTTAAGATTCATGATTATGCAAAGGTAACTTCAGTTGGAGAGGTTATGACTTATGAGGAAGATAAGAAACGCTTTTAAATCCATGAATATCTCCGCTTAACAAGTAACAGATAATTTCGTCGGGGAAGAAAGAAAAAATAGATGTAACAAGAAGCAGCAACAGTACCAAGTGTAGAAGATAAAAAAAAAGTAAAAATAAAACACCATAACGGCCACAAAGCCCGCTGGCGTACAACATGTCGTATGCCAGATGCCGCGGATTCGCGCAATTCACTCACCCAAATCACCAAACGACACAGTCCCAGCAGTCAATTAGTCAAAATCCTTTCCCTACAATCACTTGAGCTTTTAAAAATTGTTCACTTCCCAAAAGCAATTCAATTTCAATCCAAATCCCAATCCCACCATCACCATTTCTCAAAGCACAGAAGAATCCGATTCTCTCGTAATTTTTCCACGCAATTCCGCAAAGGTTTCCCATTTTCGGAATATCAAATCCAACCAACATTTCCTTCCTCTTTTTTGATTCGTTTATCATCATTTTTATTGTTGTTTTTGGTTTTGATCTTCACTATTTTCTGTGATCTTACTCAGATCCAAGCCATCCGAAGCTACCCAACTCTGCAAATTGTACCAGCAGCTTGCTTGTAAGCTCCGATCTTTTTCTCACTCTCATTGAATTATACATGCGATGATCAAGTTATGTTGTAAATTTGGATACAGTGTATGTTCATCTGGAACTTGTTTTAAAATCATTGGTTTTAGTTGAAATGTTTTGATTAAGCTGTTTATTGATAAAGATTGGAGCTTGCTTGTAAAGTTTACTTATTTTTTTGGTATGTGAATTTGAAATGATGATGTGGGTACGCAGTGAATTGGGAAGATGGAGGGGACTGTGTTCGCTCCTGCCTTGGAAGGATTCAAGACTGTCAAGTCTGATGCAGGAGAGATTCTGACCAAGCCTTTCTTGGAAGTGTGCAAGCAGATTCTGCCTGTTATAGGTTCATCATTGCTTTCCTCCCTGTTTTGTTTTGATCCCAGAAATGGCTTTAACCTCTTTGATTCCAAAACTTTGAACCAGTTTTCAGTTTTCACAATGCATGCTTGTCGCTTGTACAAGATTTTTAAGTATAATGTTTCCTACCCATTTGTTATTTTTACAATACCAGCTTTGTGCTTTGGTTCTGGGCATGACCCTTTGACTTAACAAGTGCAATTACAAATTCTGATGCCAGATAAGTTTGGAGCTGCAATGACCCTTGTTAAATCGGACATAGGTGGTAATATAACGGTAAGATATGTTTCTTTTACATGTATTTTCACCATTCATGTTTGCTGCCAGTTTAGTACTTCTTCCTGCTTTTGTGATTCTCGGTTAACTTGAATTATTTGTTTTTAGTAGTCATAGATATGCTTTGTCTTGTCTGACTTGGATATGGCAATGCTAATCTACCCATTTATGCATCAATCTGTTTAGAACATCTTGTAGGTGATATATATGTTGAAAGTAAGATAATTTTTTTTTTGTTCATTGAGTTTGAATGCCCATCAGTATTCTCACTTTCTTCAATTTTGGCTGTGTAGAGATTGGAATCTAAATACTCATCAAATCCTTCCAAGTTCAATTACTTGTACAGCTTGGTGCAACTTGAGGTTGAAACAAAAACTGCAAAAGCATCATCCAGCTGCACCAATGGTCTTCTTTGGCTGACAAGGTGAACACTATATATAATCATTACCTCATGTTTTTCTCGCTTTTATGCCTTTGCACATTGTTGAAATGAAATACCTTATATATATGATACTATTCTTGATTTATTTTCAGAGCCATGGATTTCTTGGTGGAGCTGTTTCGGAACTTACTGGATCATCCAGATTGGACAATGTCACAGGCTTGTACAGATTCCTATGGCAAGACCCTGAAAAAATGGCATGGATGGCTTGCTAGTTCAAGTTTCAGTGTAAATGTCTTTGATGCCCCTTCAATTATTTGCTGTGCAACCGTTTTTCATACTGGTTTTATCCTTTGACTGTCCTATGCTGGACTCTAATAGAATTATGGTGATTATATTCTAAAGTAGATTGCTTCCTTTCTAAATGCTTTACTTCTTAACTTTAGCATTGCTAATTATTTGGCCTTGGATGCATTTTTATATGCTTCTCATGATCACCATCTTTGCTAGTTTCTAATTCAAGAATTTAGCATGTAAAAAGTACAGAATTCATCTGAAAGCATGAAGCTATTGTATTTATTAAACCTGAAAGCATTTCTATGTTTCCCATATTAGAGAAAAACCCTGCTCTTTAGTATAGTTTCACTGTTTTGATAAAGGATAGAAACCTGCTCTTTAGTATAGTTTCACTGTTCTGCTCTTTAGAAACCTGAAAGCATTTCTATGTTTCCCATATTAGAGAAAAACCCTGCTCTTTAGTATAGTTTCACTGTTTTGATAAAGGATATTTTTGAATACTAAGTACTAGCAAAGTTCACTTAGCTTATCCACTGATTCATAATTACTTGTACTATATGATTTAATTAATATTCAGTATCCCCGCCTTTTTCTTTACTGAAAGTCTGAAAGAAATTGCAAACGAGAACTTCATTTTTGTTGAAATTTGGACTTATTTGTCTCTGTAATGATAGGTTGCCATGAAGCTTGCTCCTGACAGGAAGAAGTTCATGGAGGTGATAGGAGGCAATGGTGATATCATGGGTGATATAGAGAAATTTTGCACTACCTTTACGCCTCTACTTAAAGAGAATCACAAGTTTTTGGTAAGATAATTTATTATGTTGCAGAATTTAGTGAGATTGTTACTCTTTAACATCCTTGTTGAGTTTTGAGATTGAAGGTTGCCATATATTGACCACAATAGTTGTGTTTAATGACTGATAGATGTTTAAAAGGAGAAGTTGAAGGTAAAGATATATTCCATTAATTAGCTACATAAGGTTGCTTTTGGAAGCTTTAGTGCTCAATTTTGAAGTTTTCCAGCTGGTATGCTTGATGCAGTCCATTTTATTGAAAAGTAAAGCAGGTGGTTGTAAGATTAGTGAAACTCAAAGGACTGAAATATTGTCCGTTGGTTGGAAGGAAAGTTCCATAATTTGCTTCAGTTGTGATGCCGTTGATTTTCTACTGAGAAAAATCAATGAGAAAAAGAAGATAATAAATTATTAACTCATTTGTTATTGTAAACTGCTAGTGTGCTGACGAACTTTTACTCTTTAACACAGGCTAGTGTTGGCATGGATGAATTGAAGGCTTCATGAATGAGAAGGTTTCCTGATGAGAGGAGGCTTGTGCATTCGGTTGCCTTGCCTGCCATTTCCTTCCCCTTGGATCATGTCCTTGTGGCCTAATCCTTCAACTTCAAAGATGAAAAATAATGTGACTTTTTCCTGAATTCATATGGCTATTTGATTAATGTTTTAATGCTAAATTTTTACTTATAATTGGTTATTACAGAGCCTGTTCTTATTATTTGGTTCCATATGTCTTGCCTGTGCCGTGGAAGGTATTTTTCTACCCTGCCTCTTTCTAGTGAGTTGAGGTTGACCTGAGAGGGTTCGAATGAAACTATGTTCTACACAGCATAGATATCATAGAGATGGGTAGTATAATCAAATGCCTTTTGTTTCTACTTTTTGGTGTCCGGTGACTGGGATGGGCTTGAGTAGTCTGGTGTCCGAGCCGAACCAAACCAATGCCGATGAAGATCCGAACAGAACGGATTCAAACTTCTCCTAGAATAGTTCATATTTTGGAATATTCAGATCTAAGCTTATTTTCAACTCCTCTCCCAGAATAATTCATATTTCGGAATACTTCGATCTACGCTTATTTTCAACTCCTCAAAGCATTTTTCCTCGTCTCAGGGTGCTAGGTATATGGAATTTCTCTATTAGAACAATGTAGTTACATGTAGCATAACTCTCTGTTAATTTATCAAATGTAGATTCCAACTCTCTAACCAATTTCTTCATGGCTAGTTTCACCAAAAAACACGGCTAGTTTCCATTGAAAAAATAAAACAAAGCGGGTCCCCATGAATTCTTAGGTCTGAGCGCCTCTGATGTAGACTGGCAAATAGAATTCTTAAAGGCACAAATTTTTGTTTCTACTCGTAACATTGTCATGTGGTATTATTGCTCCATATGGTGTCGACGAATTTATACTTTAGGGTGTATGAATTTATACTTTAGGGTGTATTAATAATGAACGTGTTCTCTAGAATGTGCTGAAACTAAAACGGAAGTTTTCAATTGTACCAAAAAGAAAGTTCTTCTGTTCCAGTCTTTTCTATGCATGGTAATTGAAAATCAAAGATGTATCCTTTTATTAGAAAAAAAAATGTAGAAATTGTTTTTATTTGAGTAATTAGCCCTGCCATGTCATCATTGTCTTCCATTCCGTCCATTGGACCATGTCACCAATGGGGTGTTAGTTGGATTGGCTCAAGCCTTTGGTGTGCTGGTCCTAGATTCAAGTCTCCATAATACCCGTGTGTGAGTTTTCCCCATCCTCTTCCTAACTTTGGCCAAAAAAGAAAAAGAAAAGATTAGACCTACCATGTCATCGTTGTCTTCCATTCTGTCCAGGGTAATTGAAAATCCAAAATTTAAATTTAAATTAGTTTATTATAGAAAACAGAACATGAACAAATGGTTCTGTTTGAGTGATTTGTACGTCATGGTTGTCACACAAGTTCTAGAGGAAGAAGATACACAAATTAAGATGATGAGATGTGCGCTAGTAATTCCACAATTGCCACACAATTGTTTTCCCCAACCGCTTTTCCCGCGCATTCACTGAAAAACCGTTAACAATCCCCCTCCACCCAAATTTAGCCTATGGTCCTGTCCATTTCTAGTTCTATCTCTCTACTTTCCCACCCGAAAATCCGGTGAGCAACAGGTTTTGATGACTGGTCACCGGGAACGAGCACTGCATCGCCACCGGGCCATCCAACAAAACCGATGCTCTCATTTCCACTCTGATTCTTTTCGGATTTGCCAATTCAAAAAAATTTCTGGCCCCATGGCATCACAATCAACAATTGCAAATTTTTATTTGTAAATTGTTTGAGAGAGATGAGACCGCTCTTTGCACTGTTGGATTATATGGGTACGCTTGGGAACACTTACCATGACGTGGGTTTGAGATTGCAGGAGCTGGTTGTATTATGCTGATGCCTTTTTCTCTGCCTTTTCTTCTCAAGGTACACAGTTCTTTTTCCTGTCACTTTTTTTCTTTTGGTGTTACATTTATTGGGGATCAATTTGGAAAACTAAATTATAATAAAAAATAATATGTTGATGTAGCAACTAGCAGCTGAATATTCTTTGGGCAGAGGAGTTTCCAAATGGTTTTGATAATATATATTTATTCTTTTCTCCTTCTTGTGGTTTCCATGATCAGGAGCTTGTCATATACATTCTTGCTTTCTTTGTATTTGAAGTAGAGAATAAGCACCATTTCTACCAGCAACTTAATTTCCAGCTGAAGGTTTCTGAAGTGCATGTCCTAAAGCACTTGAGCCAACAAAATGGCAACCAAGGTGAAGGGCCTCTTCAAAGGCCTAAGATACATTTCACATATGTTTGGTAAGTGCGATTTCCGTTGATTTTTCCCTAAATTCGAATAATTTTCTTTTTCAAGTTTTACAAGGTCTTGTGGCATAAATTCCAGTTGGGTTTTTCTTTGGTCGGCAAGAACTAATGATCGAAAATTTTGCAGGATTTTGTTTTCTTTCCAATGAGAAATCATGAGCATAAATTTTCTTCTTAGTTTAATCTCTCTTCATTGTGATGTAAATAATATTTATTTTACTAGAGATTGAAAAGAAAGAGCAAATTGATTGACCAAGTGGCACAAATTTTGCAGAAGAGAAAGATGATGAAATACAAATTGGCTTTCCCACAGATGTAAAGCATGTTGCACACATTGGATGGGATGGTCCTTCTGCAAATAGTACGCCGAGCTGGGTAAACCCTCTCTCTCTCTCTCTCTCTCTCTCTCTCTCTCTCTCCATGATACATACAATTGCGACTACATAAAATTTCATCTTGCAGATGAACGACTTCAAATCTTCTCCAGAAGTCTCATCCGCTGGGCAACTGGCTGTTAAAGAATTGTCCTCCCAAGGTTTGCTTATTTTCTAACACAACATATCTTTTCACTGTATGATGTTAACGCTAATAGTTCGTATTAACAGTCTGGCAATATAACATGTCACTTTTAATGTGAAGTTAAAATTGATCATGATCTTTCTGTAGCCTATTTCTTGTTAACTCCTGTTATGTGGAAATGCAATCAACAAAAAATGTGCAACAATTCACATTTGAATGTTGTATGCTTCTCTCTGCAGATATGCATAAACCTGGCCAACAATTGGTGGTGCATCGAAGTGACATTCCAAGGTCAAGGCACCATTCGCCTACAGGTGAACCTGAAAGTTCTCCCACCAAGAAGATCTCTGATGGATCAAAGAAGCATTCTAGGCGCCACCGCTCCAAGGATGGAGTAATGGATTCCCCTTCTCGAGAGGCTAAAGAAGGTAGTAGCCGTCATTCAAGAAGAAGCAGGAATTCTAACAACCTTGGATCTGAATCTCCCTCACAAGATCCACCTGGGATACCAAAACAAAGGAGGAAAAAGGGTTCCTCTGAAAGCGGGTCAGCAAGATCATCAAGAAGGTCATCAAGATCCAAAGGCCAGAATTCTATGACAGATATTTCATTGGAAGATTCAGAGCATGGATCCAAGAGTGGTGAGAGTCCAATGCACCCAGTTTTGGCAGAAGAGAAGGGTTCTGAGGGATTTTCTGGAGGGAATCTTAACTGATGGCAGAAAGGGAGGTCTTAACATAACCCTCTAACTCAAAGTGTGACTTCTGCTGGCTTACTTCATTGATCATTTTTATTTTTCGTCGTCATGTTGATATCTGTGACTTGGAAAGCTCCAAGTGAGATTTGAGAAGTTGGTTTCCAATTTATGCAGTGTCTTACTGCCTAGAATACATAGAAAAGAATTTGATGAGTTGAATCTACAACAGCCTGGTGTTCAGAGAAAGCTTCTTGGTTTTCATGTTGTTTCCAAGCCAAGTATTTATGCCAAATTACTGTTCCAAACTCACATGTGAGGTTCTTCTGCAGCCTAAAGATTTCATTCTGGTGCCAACTCAAAATTCAAATTTTAACAGAGGAAGCAAATAGCCTTATTTATTGGAGTGGGAGATCTCTGACCCAATTTAGGTCAGATACAAATTAAGTCTCTGCAGGACATTCATCTCATTTACCAAAGAACTTTTGAGTGTTTCCATGCCATAATTTTTATGCAATTGTTCATGCAAAAAATGATTTCATGAAGGAATCAAGAATTAAATTCCATCGAATTTCTATCGTTTTAATGAAATGTAATTTTAAGGAATTCAGATTGTTCCCAAAACTTTTGTTCCACGTGAAGCAAAGCATATTCATCACCAAATGAGTTCATCAAACTTTTGTAATATGAAAGATTAAGAAATGCAAACTTAAGATGACTTGCACCCTTTTTCTAAATAAAATCTTTCACTGGGAACCACTATACATCTTCATCAAACCCAAAGGAACGTATCTAACAGCGCCCTTATTACAGAAGTTCAACTCTTGCTTGCATTTCCTCTGGTATCATGAATGATAGTGGAATTTGGTTCACCAAGCCAAGACCATGTGGAGAGTGGAGTCTTTCTCGATGTTGTATCTCGCAAGACGCCATTTATCTTCAAGGCGTTTTCCGGAAAATACAATACTCTGAAAATGAACTGGTACTCTAACCTTACAAAATATCTTGTCCTTCACCTCTCTGACAGTATTCGATCGTGCCACATCAAGCGTAATGGTTTTCCCATTCCATGTCTTAATAAATATCTGAATCCAAGAAGGCAGCACCTCTAAAGTGGAATTTTCTTCAATGTTGTAGAAAGCCAAAGTCTTGCAATCCTGCAGCTCATTTCCTTCATAAATAATTCTACAATCAGCAACAGGACATCCTATAAAGCTCTCAACAATCGCTTTGACATTCCGGAGTGTGTACAAGACCTTAACTTCAACCTTGACAATCTTTCCACTTGGTGTTTTCACAAAAATTGCCATAACATCTCTTGGATTAAAAATCATATAAAGGGTTGATTCTGTCCGTATATCAAGCGAGGCCAATGTCCGATAATCTTGAAGTAGTTTCCCACCATAAACTAAAGTGTACTGGTCTGATTGAGTTCCCTCCTTCAACTGAATCATGGATTTGATGTCATTGATGATATAGTACCCTTTTGCTTCAAATACAATTGTCTTCTGATTTGATGGAATTTTCACATATATTTTCATTCTCATTGAATTCTGATGACATGTATGGTAACTGGGTTCCTTTTGAATTCCTTGATCAGCTGGTATTTGGCCATCGTGAAGCCAATTACTACTATCATCCAAGAGAGGCTCCTGAAGCTTTTCTGAATTGCTTTCCTTCCTGTGTCCTATGGATTTCTTAACCCTCAAAGCTACTTGTTTCAAGACCTTCCACAGTATATTCCTCTGCTACAAAGAAGAAACAAATCTTGTGAAGCTAATTTCAATCATTTGAAGGATACATAAGACATTGTGCGAGAAAACAAAAAAAGGAAGAGATTACTTTAAACTGATCCAATGAAAAATAATATGCTATGTAAATAAAAGGCAATAACAACCTTTTGCTGAGACGAACCAGGGTAACTTGATGGGAGCGTTCGGTATCCCCGGTGTGAGGGTCTACGAAGTCTCAGTGCTTCATCCATTGGAAATTTTCAAGACTAGAGAGTGATTGTTCAGATTGCCAGGTTTTGGCAAAACTTTATATTCCTGATGAAACTCAGAGTTTGAAGACGGCCTTATGTAGAGTTCTTTTCTTTAACTAACACAAATAGAATCCTTTTAATATAAATATCGTATATTGTTTATTGGATAAGTGCTTCTCTGTTGAATAATTGGTCTTTAATAATAATGAAACAATTATTTAGCCTAGGCTCTAGCCAAAGTCTTCAATTTGGTTCAATTTTAATACAAGTTGGTAGGTTCACACAAAGCACGGGTATTGTAAAAGAATTTGGAAAATCAATAGAATAGTATAGTAATAGTCCAAAACTAGACACTGACATTTTAATGGAAGGACAAAAGAAAATCTCTAATAATGTCAACTCTCCTTGTGCTTCAAATAATTTACTGTTGGGGTTCAACCGAGTAAAGAAGAAAGAATTATTGAATCAGGAACTACTGCAAGATTCAAGTATTTCATGTTGCATATAAGAAAATATGACCACGTTGTGCTTATGGCCAAAGTTCTCTCATTTTAGACCTTCGTCGAATTTTCATCCAAATGCGGAACATAAAACTCAGTAAGTCAAAAGTCATTGTTTAAAAAGAAGGAAAATGCAATTGAAGCAGGTTTGTTTTCCTTCTTAAGCCAAGATCCACATGTAGCAACTTGTTCTGTTCAAGCCAACATTGCACATACCAACAGTGAGCTCTGCACAGTTGTACCCTATTCTAAGTACATTGCATTTCAAATTAATATTTTCTACATAACCTCACCTGTGCCAAAATATTGTTGCTGCTGCTAATCTGCAGAAGATAGCCAACCACGCTAGCCTACGACCCTCTAGACAACGTTTGTTGACAGAACCAAAATAAGGGTGGAGTCCTTCTGTATGTTGTAGCTTGCTAGATCCCGACCATTAATAAGAAATTTCCCACCAAACAAAAGCCTACAATAATAATAAGGCTTCATAGACACTTCAAGCTTGCGAAAAACCTTGACCTTCACATCTTCGACAACATCAGACTGCTTCACATCAATAGTTAGGCTTCTGCCATCAAAAACTTTAACAAATATCTGAAACAAACGAGGTGACATCTCCAATACGTATTCATCCCTGATGTCATAAAAAGCCAATGTCTTGAGATCCTCAAGCTGATTTCCGGCATAGATCAGATTCTGATAACTGACTGAGACACCTAAAGTGTTCCCAACTATGTTTTTGACATCATTGACAGTGAACAGTGCTCTAACCTTGAGTTTAACAGTCTTGCCTGATGGTGATTTCACAGATATTGAAAGGACATCTTTAGGAGCAGAAATCATTTGCAGGGTTGACATGTTATTGATACCTAAGGAGGTCAGAGTGCTGTCCTCTTCAAGTAATTCTCCATCATAGAAAAGAGTAAACTGATCCGATGGAATAATCTTCTTGGCCTGAATCATGACCTTGATGTTTCGGATGGTGTCATGAGCTTTTGCTTCAATCTCAATGGTGCAATGACTTGATGGTAGTTTGACAAATAATTTGATCCCAACAGTATTCTGGAGAACAAGATGAACAGTGGAGTCCCTCTGAACTCCACAGTCGACTAGACTTTGGCAGTCCACGAGCATATCACCACCCAAGAACAGCTCCTGATGATTTTCTGGAAATCCATACTTCTCACAGAACAGTGCTTTAAGATCTTTTATTGTCTCAGATCTCTTGACCGTTAAGGCCACAGTTCTCGTAATCTTCAAAAAAATATTAATCTGATACACCAAAACAATACTATAACAAAGACCAAACCGAAAACGTTAATTTGCAATATTTTTACAACCAGAACAATTGTTCCCATTATCCATATCAGGTTGGGCCATCAATGATATACTAGTAAAGAAAAAGGAAAAGCAGCAATATGTCACACCACGCAGCAATGAATGAGCTTACAAAAGATTCTAACACCAACTGTGGCCCATGTTCCAGGGAGGAGACTCTAGGATATAGACATCCATAATAAGGCCTAACGTCTAATACAAAATTACAATTCTTCCTTGAGCGTCTAACTCTAATATCTGATTAATAAAAACTCTATACATATTATTTTCAAGGACAGTAGGAGGGCATAACAGAAATATATAGATCATACAGTCTACAATTCACATTAAGGATTACTTGGCACACAGAATATGTTAATGACTAGGCCACTGGTAACATTATACACATTCCAACAGCAAATGGAATGCAGGGGAGCCTAATGCCACAAAAGAGAAACCAGATTTGAGGAGATAATCAAGCTATCTAGCCTAAAAGAAACACTACCGGAGATTTAAAAGCTAAAAAAAAAAACCTCCAACAGGCAACCACAGCACACAGTTACTACCAATGCAAAATTTCTTAGAGTGAACATTTGGAGTCTCCAACCATAGACTAAATTCAAAAGGCAAAGTTGGTTGAAAAATAGAATACTCATGAAGTTGCTATTTTGGAGATCCAATTATAAGGTTGTGGTTGAAGTTCAGAATTTCTGGAAATACATAATGATAGTGAAAAGTTCAAAGTTTTTTCATAGGAAACAAAATATTACATAGATTGTAACTTCTTTTTGTAGGAAACAAAAATATTAGTGAAAGATTCGATCTTGAATCTCTTAAGATATAAAGAATGTGTTATAACAACATTTTCTACTTCGTTTTCTGTTTTTCTCTATTTTATGGTAAAACCAATCACAACGAAACCAGAGACTCAGTGATCAGTATCAAATCATTAACATACAGTACACAAAATGAAGAGGAAACAAAATAGTATATAAAGAAAAGATGAAAGGTTGAAAATCGTTAACGACCTCTTCTTCTGGGCTTGAACTGGACTGCTGGTGTTGAGTAGAAGAAAGTACTGTTGCAATCCGACTACTGCTGGCTGCCAATGCCATGACTGTCAAACCGTACTGTCTCTGTTTTTTTTTTTAACCAAGGTGGTAGAGAACGAGAGAAATTTGACAGACCTCTCTGTATTGTTTGAACTCTGGAATGAGTGATGCTCCTTAATGGGTCATTTATTTATAAATATATTTTTTTTAAAAGGGAAACGAAAAGTCTAAAGAGAATTAAGGTCATTTTTTGAAGGGCCCCCTACTACAGTCTTCATTCGCTGGGTAGACCCTCTTCCCGTTGCTTGCGGTTATTCCATTGATTTTTTCTTTTTCAACTCCAGCAGATACATTCACCAATGAACTACGAATATAGTGAGCATCTCTAAGGAGTATGTAAATAAGGCACAAAATATACTATAACAACTTAGGTGGCATGTTGCTTACCCATTTGCCTCATGAAAAAAGTTGGTCAATGGGATGGCAATTTTCTTTGGTGGTAAAAGTTTGCTGGAATTCGACCCTAATTGGTCGGGTATGAAGGATGAAAATCAGGTATGGAGATTGATACGGGGAATTTTACAGGTATGGTCTTCGGAGAGGGGCGGGGATAGTATTTTGAATCCGCAACCCAAACCCACCTTGTTTAGAATATATATAATTTTATTTGAGGGACACCCTTTAAGGTCCCCTATGAATTTTTTTTCACCGCAATCCAAACCCACCTTGTTTAGAATATATATAATTTTATTTGAGGGACACCCTTTAGGGTCCCCTATGAATTTTTTTTCAATGATCCAGACCATATATTTTTTTTATTAAGTTTAAATTCATAGATCATCATTGCAAAAAATTAGACAAATCGGAAACCGTTTCAATATCCAATTGTGTCCTACAAAATCAATGAACACGGTGCTTCAAGAAAGTACTAAAATTTCAATAATTCTATTGAGTGGTCAAATGATATCAAATTCAAGTGCTTTTTTTGTAAAGATGATCTTTGAATAAGTATCTACAAAATAAACGGTTTGGATTAGTGAAATACAATACGGAAATGGGCTCTACAAGGGTGTCCCTCAAGTAAACTAATTTGAGGGATCCCTAAATGGAAGCTCTCTCTCTCTCTCTCTCTCTCTCTCTCTCTCTCTCTATTAAAGTGATTGTGCAGACCAAGTTTTATATTTTCTATTATTATATTATATATTTATACGAATATTAAGCCACACTACTTATATTATACATATTAAGTTAAACTCCTGCCAATAAACATTCTTATATTGTCTTATAAGTTATAAGTATACATTTTTGTTGATTTTTTCTTCCATAATGGTGAGGGTCGGGGAACCCGTTCCTCAATGAAGACGGGGTTGAGGAATTCCCGATATGAATATTGTGGGTATGAAGGCGGGGATGAGGATGAGAATGGCATACCCACCCCCAATTTTACCCATTGTTAGTGCCACTCCAAGGGACTAGACAATGTAATTGTACAAACTATTATTATATTATGAACTTTTATCTTTTACATTTATTATTATATTTTATAGAAAGTATAAATGAGTGCAGATGATATTTTATCATAAAAAGCAAGTGGCGCCCAATATACCTATTCATTTTGAAGTAGTTCACTTTGCCTTGTTGGGGAGAGTATGTATATTTTACCTACCTATTTACCTATTCCCTTGGAGCCTGAAAATGCTGATGTTTCAAGGCAAATAAAGTTTGCCTACTCTTTTGCCTCATCCCTTGGAGATGCTCATACATGTTACATTCCATTTGAATTGCGTTTACATGTGTTTGCATAGTTAATTTCCAATTGCTTTGTATTTACCCGTATTTTCTCTAAAAACAGACCGGCCCCGCACTGCTCTTCTTCTTTCTTCCTTTTTTTTCTCCTCTTCTTCCTCTTTCTCCCCTCTTATTTTTCCTCTCTTTCTTCTCTCCAATCTTTAATCAAACGGTGCTTTTACTATCATAGCATCTGCCTCTTCATCTTTTCAGCTCTACCAAAGGCAACGAGATCAATGATTGAAAAGTTTTACTTCCAAGCCGCTGGTCACTTGTCATGGACTCAAAAGATTCTCAACCTTCCTTGACAAGTTTCGATAAAAGACAAAAACAAAAACAAAACCTTCCTTGACAAGGGAGCCCTCTTCACTACATGCGGTTAAGTATAGGAATGGAATTGAATCGTCCTTGTAAAGAAAGGCTTCGATTAAGAAGACTAGCGCTCTTCGGTGCCTATGAGACGTTTTTTTCAAAAAAAATTAAATTTATTTTAGAATTAAAAAAGATAATGGGTAGTTGTGTTCCATAAAAATATGATCAATTATCTGATTTTTTTTTTTTTTAATTTTAATTTTTTTAATATGAAAAAGTGAATTTACCATATTATCCTCATTTAATTAATAATTTCAATTCTTGATGTTTGCATTAACCAAATACATTTTCTGATATTTTAAATGTTTTACCATTATCTGTCTTTTACTTTATATATATAGATAACACACTGCATTGCACGTGAGAATCACATGAAATCTTTAACCCAAAGCGAGCCTTCGGAAAATGTTAGGATCCTTGACTAATGGGCCTATTCATAACAGCCCATAGACGCGTGTAATGTTCTCTTACCGTTGATGGACTCGCACTCGGTGCATTTAGTTTGAGGCCTTTGGCCATTTTGGGGAATGAATGAAAGAATTGTTACTTTAGTCTCTCTTCCTCCTCTTTTTTCTTACTTTCCACTGTTTGGTACCTATCAGAAAGCACTATCAATTGGATGTTTACTCCAACAGGAACACTATTTCAAGCAAAGATCAGAAATTTGAGACAGTCTTCATAAATTTAAAATGCAGTTGGTTTTAATACAATTTTCATTTACAAGAAGAAATATGAAAGAAAAAGAAATTAGAGGGACACAAACATGATGAGGCACAATCAAAAGAAACATATTTATATACAAAAGTTGCACAATTTAAGTTTGATCCTACTTTTGGGCTTGAACATTGCACATACCTACAGTGAGCTCTGCACAGTTGTACCCTATTCTAGGTACATTACATTTGAAATTAATCTGTCCTAGATAATCTCACATGTGACTCATTCTTTCTCTAACCTTACCTGTGCCAAAATATTGTTGCTGCTTCTAATCTGCAAAAGATAGCTAACCACGCTAGCCTACGACCCTCTGAAAACGTTTGTTGACATAACGAAACTAAGGGTGGAGTCCTTCTGTATGTTGTAGCTTGCTAGATCCTGACCATTACGAAGATGTTTCCCACCAAACAAAAGCCTACAACAATAGTAAGGCTTCATAGACACTTTAAGCTTGCGAAAAACCTTGACCTTCACATCTTCGACAACATCAGACTGCTTCACATCAATAGTTAGGGTTCTCCCATCAAAAACTTTAACAAATATCGGAAACAAACGAGGTGACATCTCCAATACGTATTCATCCCTGATGTCATAAAAAGCCAATGTCTTGAGATCCTCAAGCTGATTTCTGGCATAGATCAGATTCTGATAACTGACTGAGACACCTAAAGTGTTCCCAACTATGTTTTTGACATCATTGACAGTGAACAAGGCTCTAACCTTGAGTTTCACAGTCTCTCTTGATGATGCTTTCACAGATATTGAAAGAGTGTCTTTAGGAGCATAAATCATTTGCAGGGTTGACTCGCTCTTGATACCTAATGAGGCCAGTGTGCTGTCCTCTTCAAGCAATTCTCCACCATAGACAAGAGTGAACTGATCCGATGGAATCATCTCCTTGGCCTGAATCATGGCCTTGATGTTTCGGATGGTATCATGAGCCTTTGCTTCAATCTCAATGGTGCCCTGACTTGATGGTAATTTGAAAAATAATTTGATTCCGACAGTATTCTGGAGAACAAGATGAACAGTTGAGTCCCTCTGAACTCCACAGTCAACTAGACTTTGGTAGTCCATGAGCATATCACCACCCAAGAAGAGCTCCTGATGATTTTCAGCAAATCCATACTTCTCACATAACAGTGCTTTAAGATCTTTTATCGTCTCAGAGCTTTTGACTGTTAAGGCCACAGTTCTCATAATCTTCAAGAAAACATTAATCTGCAACAAATAAAAAGATATATGTACTTAACCCAAACAAAACTATAACAAAGGCTGAACCGAAAACCTGCTTAATTTACAATAATTTTACAACCAGAACAATTGTTCCCATATCTGGTTGACTAGAAAAGAAAAAGGAAAAGCAATCTATGCTTCACGCCAAGCATCAAGAATCAATGAATGAGCTTATAAATGATTCTAACACTAACTGTGGCCATGTTCCAAGGAGAAAAATCTAGGATATAGACATCCATGATAAGGCCTAACGTCTAATACAAAATTACAATTCTTCCTTAAAGAGTCTAACTCTAATATCCTATAAATAAAAAGTCTATTTATATTATTTTTCAAGGACAGTAGGAGGGCATAAAATAAATACACAGATCATGCAGTCTGCAATCCACATTAAGGAGTACTTGGCACACAAAATATGATCCATAGGTAAAAGAAATGACTAGGCCATTGGTCTCATTAGACACATTCCAACAGCAAATTTAATGCAGGGGAGGCTAATACCACAAAAGCGAAACCAAATGAGATAAGCCCTCCTTTTCTTTGAGGAGATAATCAAGCTTTCTAGCACAATAGAAATTCTACCAGGGATTTAAAAGCTCAGAGACAACTCCAACAGGCAACACAGCACACAATTACACCAATGCAAAATTTCTTAGAGTGAACAGTTTGGAGTCTCCAACCCTAGACTAAATTTCAAAGGAAAGCTATTACATTTTTCTTTGTTACCATTTTATAACAGAAAAAGACAAATTGGTTGAAAAATAAAATACTCATAAAGTTGCTATTTTGGAGATCAAATGATAAGGCTATGGTTGAAGTTCAGAATTCCTGGAGATACGTAATATAAATGAAAGGTTCTAAATTTTTAATAGGAAACTAAAATATAAAGAATGTGTTAAACAACCACTGAAATATTATGGACTTGACTGAGCATACTAGTGAAATGCTTACCAACTCCCAGAGAGACATAACATGAAAATGAAAATGTAGTTTGACACTCAAAATAAAGTGAAAATGAAGAACACATAACCACATTTTCTACTATGTTTTATGGGAAACTAATCACAAGGAAACCAGAGACTCAGTGATCAGTATCAAAACACTAATATACACAAAATGAAGAGAAAACTAAATTATATATAAAGAAAAGAACAAAAGATGAAAGATTGAAAATTGTTAACCTCTTCTTCTTCGTTTGGACTGGACTGGTGGTGTTGAGTAGAAGTAAGTACTGTTTCCATCCGGCTACTCCTCGCTGCCATGACTGTCAAATCCCCTGCTCTTTTAATTTTTTTTTTGGTTTGAAACCCTAACTCTAAAACCAAACAAAGAACCAAGGTGGTAGAGAAAGAGAGAACTTTGACAGATCTCTATTGTTTGGAGTTGATGTTTTTTAATGGGTTATTTATTATCTCATAATTCTCTTTACATTTTCGTTTTTTTAAGGGTTTACTAGTGAAATACCCCCTGAATTTGTACTTTGCTTTCAATTAGCCCCCTATCCTTTTTTTTTTAGAAAATTAAGGATATGAACTTCTTTTTTTCGCCAATTCCCCCTTGCCATCTAAATCATCAACATTTCATCCAATTTTAGGGTTATTTTAACATACAAAATTACTATTTTACCCTCATATTTAACGGCAAATTGGATGAAATGTTGCGAATTTGGACGACAGGGGGGAAATTGGGGAAAAAAAAGTTCATATCCTTAATTTTCTAAAAAAAAAGGATAGGGGGTTAATTGAAAATATGGTACAAGTTCAGGGGGCAAATCACTAGTATACCCTTTTTTTAATATGCGGATTTACACTTTTCGTTTCCTTCTTGTCTTATTATAATTTTTGGATTTATTGTAGATGTCCCTTGCTTTTATTTATTTATTTTTATATTAATGACATGTGTTCTTATCATAATATGGTACACCTCATCATCATTCTCAACACTTTGATGTTCATGAATATAACCATAATTAACTATTTGCTTTGTATTTGTATAACTATGGTTATACCCCTGGATTAAAGGGGTAATGGTACACGTGTCAACTTGTCAAGTGTTAAGAAAGTTATTGAGAAATGTGATGATTATACATCTTGGGTTAAAATAGAATTATTTGTTCGTTTGTTTTGTCATACAAACAACAATCCATGCTCCAACAAAAACAAAATATTATTAGCCCACCCCTATGTAAATTCTTGGTTCCACCTTGGGAACCACGTAAGTCCAACATATTAAAATATGAGAACTATGAGAGAATATTTGTTTGTAGGAATTTTCTGTATATTCCTCTCATTATAGGAGATCATATTTATAATACAATTATTGGCGCTAAATCTGAACAGATAGAGATGAGTGCAACTTACAAGTGATGAGGACGATCTAGCAGATCGATTGAGTGATAGATGCAGATTCTTCTTGTCCTTGGATGCAGATGTTGGTTTTAAAACATTTTTAAGAAGTTCATTTGAATATTAAACATGCATTTAATCAAATTAATCGCAGCGGAAGAATATGGTGGTTGTTTAAATTCAAAAACAAAACTTCTTCCAAGTATCTTAAGCCATGAACATTGATATGTTTTTCATAAATGAAAATTCAAGAGAAAGGATAAGATCTAATTACCCTTGAAGCAATTATATGAACCAAGTTGTGTTTTGGTCTTCTCTTGATGATTTTCCTTTGTTGATCTCCTCTTGATCTTTCTCCTCCTTGTGAGCCACAAAAGTATATGGCCTCTAAGTCTCCACACCAATGAAACCTTGAGATGAGAAGAGGTATCTTGAGAATACAAGGATGCTAGTACAAGATTCTCAAGATTGGTTTCAATCTAAACCCCTTTGAAAGAAGATTGTGTTTCACTCTTGAAAAACTCACAACTATCTCTCTTTGATCTCCCAAACCTCTTTGGTTGATGTTGGATTGTGTTTGTGTGTCAAATGAGCTTATGGAAACAATTCCCATACACATGCACTTAACCATTTTCGGCCAAACCCCATTGGGCTTCCAAAATTGGGCCTTATGACACTTAAGCCATAATTTAGGTGTCTTAAGTCCATGGGCTTGATACCCAACATTGGGCTTCCAAAATTGGGCCTTATGACACTTAAACCATAATCTTTAGGTGTCTTAAGCCCTTGGGCTTGATACCCGACCATTTGGGCTTCCCTCTAACTATTATCGAGGCCCAAATATATTTTTACACGTAGTAAATCATCCATATCAAATCAATCAAATTGATTTCCTCATTCTCATTTGTATTACTCGAAGTTAACCATTTAAGGTGTGCGATCCATTAGGTTCTAATTTAGCAAGGCAGTGGGAAAACATTAGAACTCTTTCTAACCAACTGGAATTAAAACCCCTTTTTAATTCTTCCTTTATTTGGATCGATCACAATCAATCCTAGGACTTCCACAAGCCAAGAGTGACATCTAGCAATATATCATGGCTACCCAAGCTAATTATAATAGATGAAGAACCTATTCAGTTGGAATTGCAATGCAATACGGTCCTTCTCTTGTACAATGTTTCCAATCATATTGTTAGGGTACGGATTGATAATGTCAAACCCCTAATATGATTAAACTCATATGATTCAATAGAACACAATTAAAAACCACTTTCTAAATCATGTTCAAGTACTTCGGCCGAAGATTCACTGAATCATATCTTGAAACATTCTCCTTTCTTTATCAAGGTAGAGATTCCTTATTGTACATTCACATATCTCCATGATGAATTAAGAGATCTCAATAACACATAAGGAAAATCTTTTACGACTTGCCTTTGTGAGCTATCAAAGATCAATAACGCATCACAAGACAACCATGATGCCTCAGGTCTAAGGACTAATTTGCATTATTGCAACTATGAGTTCTCGTTTGACATATAGATAAATACTCCATACGAGAACTCCGGTTGATCGCGTTCAGTGTACTCATTCACTAATGAGCACCCACATACTTGTATTAGTGTCAACTACACAAATGGTTTGAGACCAACCATCCTCATCATTGAGCATACATAGTATGTGCCAATCTTGACGGTTTATCAATGCCCATTTGATAACCTTATGATTAGGAACATTTTGGGATACTACAGTTAGAGATTAAAGGTCTCCCGAATCTAAACTTCTTTAGATTACTTTATCTCTTATTTAGTACACCCTGGACTTTTGTTTCTTTACACGACATAAAAGATAACAAAATAATATTGCCCTTTATTTATCATATACGAAATGTATTCTAAGGAGATTACATCAAATGTATTGGCTCTTAGGGCACATTTCTAACAGCAGATCCTGAATAGAAGAGAGTTTGAGGTTCGTGAGGTCTATGGAACCGGTGTGGAACCAGCCTAAGACCCTCCGATGCTCAAGTAAGATTGTTTTTAAGAGCTCTTGTTGTTGACCATATAAAAGTATAGAAGTCAAGCTTAAAAGTCTTACCCCTGTATTGTAGTGGAGGGGCCTATTTATAGAGGGCATTTTGTATGCTCTTAGTACTCATTTTCGATGTGGGACTCGTGGGAGGGCCCTCTGAGGTCGACACGAGTCTTTAGATATTTTGGGCGGATACTTCGAGGTTGATTCTCTACAATCGGTAAGGGATGCCGATTGTAGACGAGCTGGGCCTGTAATGGCTGTTCGCAGCTTTGAGACAATGCCATCGGTGGCCGATGCCGATTGTTCGAGGCCTTGGGTACTTGGGCGAGTTTCTAAGATCCACGTGTCGTTGTACGAGTGGAGGGTCAAATATGGTACAAACAACAATGGAGCCTTAGTGGCCAAGTAAATAGTAAATTTCTATTTCTATTTACAGTAGGAAATCAGAAATTAAAGTAAATCAATTACAATTATAATGAGAATCCTTGGTGTGTAAGGAAAGAAAGTCAATGGTCCACAGATCACGGCAACACACCCCATCACGTTAGTGCATAGATGTTGCTAATGCCCAACTGATCCAGTGAATTGTAGAAAGCTCTACTGGAAATCGCTTTTGTCAAAATATACGCCAATTGATCCTCGGACTTCACGAAAGGAAACTGAATCACTTTAGCCTTAAGCTTTTGTTTGATGAAGTGTCGATCTACCTCAACATGTTTAGTGCAATTATGTTGAACCAGATTATGTGCAATAGTTGTAACAGTCTTGTTGTCACAAAAGAGATTCATTGTGGACGTGGGTTTATACCCAAGTTCAGTAAGCAACTTCCTTAACCAAATGAGCTCACAAATTCCTTTAGTCATGCCTCTGAACTCGGCTTCTGCATTGGATAAAGAGACTACCTTCTGTTTCTTGCATCTCCATGTCACCAAATTACCTCCCACGAATGTGAAGTAACATGATGTGGATCTTCTATCTGTTACATTGCCTACCCAATCTGCATTTGAATAACCATCAATATTTAGATGACCATGTTTTGAGAACATAAGTCATTTTCCGTGTGCAGACTTTCAAATATCTAAGTATCCGAAGAACTGCATTCATATGGTCTTCACTCGGAGAATGCATAAATTGACCGATGACGCTCACCGCATAAGCAATGTCCCAGTCGAGTATAAGACAAGTAGATCAATCTTCCCACTAACCTTTGGTATATTTCTTTGTTAGTTGGAACTTGATCCGGGTATTCTCCAAGATGATGATTATGAATAATAGGAGGGTCTACAGGTTTGCAATCTAGCATTCATGTGTCTATCAACAAGTCCAAGACATATTTCCTTTTAAAGAGAAATATGCCTTGTTGTGATCAGGCCACCTCAATTCCCAAGAAATATTTAAGTCCACCTAGATTCTTCATCTCAAATTCAGTAGCCACATAATCTTGTAGCTAAGATATTTCTTGTTTATCATTCCCAGTAATAATCATATCATCAACATAGATTATTAAAGCTGTTACCTTCCTTTTATGATGTTTATAGAACAAAGTATGATCTGAGTTACTCTGTCTGAAACCATTGTTCTTCATTGCCATGGTGGACTACCCAAACCATACAACGCCTTTCTTAATTTGCATACTATTCCAGTCTGAGTAGTATCACATCCAGGATAAATGTCCATATTCACCTCCTTCGTGAGTTCTCCATGTAGGAAAACATTCTTTACATCAAACTGATGTAGTAGCCAGTCCAAATTAGCTGCGAGGGACAGTAAGACTTTGACTGTGTTTAATTTTGCAACCGGTGCAAAGGTTTCTTCATAATCTACACCATAAGTATGTGTGTACTTTTTCACCGTAAGTCTTGCCTTGTATCGCTCAATAGATCCATCAGCGTTGTGTTTTATGGTAAATACTCATCTACATCCGATAGTCATTTTTCCTTGTGGTAAAGTTTCCAATGTCCAAGTTTGATTCTTCTCAAGAGCTTTCATCTAT